CCCCAAAACCCCAAAACCCCAAAACCCCGAGCATAATATTTAATAAATTTGAAGTTGATTTTAGGATATTCCAATATTTGACGAACTCTTTATTTTAATAATAACAATGATGAAAACATAAATACTTCTATTAGTGTTTCTTTTAGGAAATTCTTTGCAGAATCTAAAATTCAATTCTAATGGAAAATTCAAGATTGTTTAGTTTACTGATACTCATATGGGCCCAGATCCCAGTAAAGGTAACCTAAAATCTATTGCTCTTTATTAATTATAAAGATGTTTAAACTCAAGCTGCAATGAAGGCAATTCTGTAAGCTGAAACCCCGGATTTGGTGGTGAGTTCTGGTGACAATCTCTTCACTAATGGAGGAGTTTATGAAACACCGGGCTGGTATGCGTCACATTATCAAAGCTTTGTCCAACCAATGATTGATCTTAATATACCATGGGCAATTACAACTGGTAATCACGATATTCATGGTGATTTAGATCAAGTGGGCATATCTAGTCTAGATAGAAGTTACAGTCTAAGCAGAACATTACCCCCTGCTGGTGATTTTATCTTAGACTTCAACTACATTTTACCAATCTATGATAATGCTGGAACTGACATTTAGTACAGATTATGGTTTTTAGATACTGGAGATCTCTAATGCGGAGATGTATATGGCTACAATTGTTTTAGGCAAGATTAAATTAACTGGGTTAAGGAGGAGAGTGCTAAAATAGCTGATTCTGATCCAAGCAAAGGCAGAGGAATGATGATCTTCCATATAACCCTATAACAATTTATGGATTTGATTAATGAAAATGAGTATTATGGTAGAGTTGGAGAGATTATATGCTGTTAAGCATAAGATACTGGGATGTTCAAGGTGATTAAAGATTACAAGACAGTTGATTGGGTTGCTTGTGGACATGATCATGACTCTGATTTTTATGGCTATTATAAAGGAATTGGGCTCTCTTATGGAAGAAAAACTGGATATACTCACTATGGACCAAAAAAGCTTTAGCATGGTGCGAGAGTATTTGAAATTTAGATATCACCAACTTATGAGATCAAAACTTGGATAAGAAATGAGGATGGCTCAATTGAGAACTAAACAAAGACTAAAAGATCTATTTTCACCCCAAAATTAAAGGAATGTTGTGAAGCTGTGACTCCATATTCAATTTCCAAGAAAAATGTCATTTAAACAAGAGCACTTGATAAAATAATTAAGAAATCCTGAGTCTTTTAGATATCAGCTCTTATTGGATAAACTAGTATTGTTAAGCTATAGTTTTAATTTAATTACTCCAAATTAACGTATAAATTGAAATATACTAATCTTGAGGGGTTTTGGGGTTTTGGGGTTTTGGGG